TTATTATTATTATTATTATTATTATTATTATTATTATTATTATTATTATTATCCTTGTGTTTGTTGCAAAAGATTGTAAGCTGAATAGGCCGTTTTAATTATCTAAAAAATCAATGTAAATTAAATATATATATCAAATTGTTATCACATGATTATTATATATATATATTATTTAAATAATGTTAAATACTAACACTGATAAACGAATCGAGATTTAATGAAAAAACTTTGATAACCACCATTGAAATTGGTTTAATTGTACGACTCATCATAATTAATAATGATGTCTTCGTGCTATTGTTAAGTATTGTCCAATCAATGCCAAAAATCTTATCGATTATTTCTTTACTCTAATAATATTCAATATTATTTTATATACATATGTGTATATATTATTATTTAATGAAATATATGTTTTTTTGTTAATAATAATAATAATAATAATAATAATAATAATAATAATAATAATAATAATAATAATAATAATAATAATAATAATAATAAATTTGTTCACTGTTTACCTTTAAAGTGATTAAATTTCCATACCAACAGTAAAGAAATATTTGTATCAACATGCAATACATGTAAAGTGACATTTTGGCATATTCCACAGAAGCCGGTGATATTTTAGTTAATTGATACAAAGTAAAACATACTGTCAATGTGCTGCCAAAAAATTGAAAGAAAATGATCAATCCAAAGATTTGATTTACGTTATCAGCAAATCTGTAAATTTTGATAAAAAAAAAATTAATCAAACCTATCGAATATTTTATTTTTCCTTTTAAAAACAAATTAGAAAGAATAATTCGTTAATGTAAACATGAATATTAATAAAATTCCATTTTTGTTTTTTTATTTATATAATATATAATTTTTGGTAATAATGAACTAACTTGTATATGTATTCGTGATGGCGAATGCATAATATTAAAAGTGTTTTCCTTTTGTCAGTTATTTTCGTTAAACGATTTTCCAAAATCTTAATTTGACAACAAATATGTATAAAAATTCCGCATATCAATGAATCCAATGCGACGTTTAAAAATCCGGCTAATGTCATACCTAAGATTTGTTGAGTGTATATTAAATAATACCTGATGGGTGTTGTATTATCAAATGGTAACCAAACTTCTTGAAAAGTTAATTGTCCGTTTCTGAGATCATTGATTAATGACATAAATACGAAACTGCTAACTGAAAATCCTATCAAGGATGTATAACCATTTGTATTATATCTAAAACAATATAAACAAAATTATAATATAATTTATATAAATAAATAAAATAAATAATATAAATATAATGATATGAGTTACTAAAGTTGTTTAATGTTACAGTGGTAATAATTATATTATATTGTTTTGATTAAATAATGAATAAAAATTTATAACTTCGAACGAATAAATAAAAATATTATAATATTTAATAATTGATAAAAATAAACTAAAAAATAATATATATATATAATATACAAAACGTATACAGGGTGATCTGTAACTGGTGATACGTAGGGTATTACCGAAAAGTTCGTAGGTGTGTTATAATGAGACGTGATCAAGTGCACGCGTATTTTGCAAAAATTTAAAGTCGATTTTCTCGAAAACAAAGTCTCAAACGAAAAAATTCGTATGTAATAATTAATAAATAACAAACCGTGCCAATTTGTCGAATTTCAATTGTATCTCAATTTCTTCCTCGTCTGATGGCACGTATGGTTCTTTTTTGTTTAATGCGTTTATTAATTCGACAACATCGTTGTAATTAATTTTAAACGTTAACATTTTCAAACAAGATATTGCAATGGTCAAAGATACGTAAATGTCTTCAGAAAGATCGCTTGAAATGTTTAAAACGATACCAATGATTTGTGATAATGATAATGTTGTTACTAAAAAGATAACACAAATAGCGTAGAAATTGTACAAAAGATTTTTCTGATACAAGATTGACCAAGACAATGGTTTCCAACATCCACAAATACTTAAAATCATCAGAGTTGATTCTAAGATCATTTTTTTTTTAAGGAAATGACAAAACTTTATCAATTTTTATTGTTGTGATTATAATCTTGTTAACATCGTATTTAAATGAAAAACTTATGAAACAAAAAATTTTTTTAACAATTTATAAAACAAATATTATTTCTTCTTCATAGAATGAAATATTGTTTGTATTTTATTGTTAGATACGCGTACGCTAAGAAATTTGTTCACAAACTGAAATGTGATTTGACTTTATTTTATTCATACTTTTCTTTACCAAACCCCCTTTCGTATGAATCGTACGATCGATGTATGATTCTACTTTTCTCGAAACGAAATCTATCATTATCCTAATGTCAGCTTCCAAAATTACATAGACTAAATAATCCATCTGAACAAAAAATTACGATGACTCTTTGCTACAATCATCTGTGATTTATTATTATTTATTATTCTTCTACGTTGTTAAATTGAAGTAAACGAAACTACGATAGGAAAATTTGTTCTTACTGAAATGAATTTCTACGGTCATAACAGTAATTTCAAATATTCAAATTGTATTGTGAAACAAGATTGAAGTATTTTTTATTTTAAATATAAAAATAAAACAAACGATATTTGAAATGATTAAAAAGAAACAAGATTGGAAATAATTTAATCGACAAAATACTACTCTAAGTAAGTTGACTTATTATTATTATTATTATTATTATTTTAAAAATTTTAAACACTTAATATATCTCGTTTCCTATATATATATGTATATACTATTGAATACACAAAAAATATCTACACTTCTATTTTGACTATAATTGTTTGCACAAATTCAATAATTTCAATCATTATGATGATTTTTGCAAAACGTTAAATGCCGAGTACGATGTATTTAGTATCTGTAATTTGTTTAATGATATTAAACAAATATCAAAATAATATTATATTAATAATGAATATATATTTCAAACAAGACATTAACTTACGCTTGTAAATGATTGAGCAGACAATACTATGATATAACCGCTTCTCATTTCAATGGGTTTTGTAGAACGTAACATTATTATAGGAATAATTTTAACTATGTCATTTTCCAATGACGTCCAATCCATTTCATAAAACATATCTCCAATTTGCATACTCTAAAAATATAATATAAAGAATTCAATTTTATTTTAATATTTTGTATATCAATTAGTATATCAGGGTTTCTCAAATTTTTCCACTTGCCAATTTGTTTTTTTCTCAACTTTGAAAGGGTAAAAATTCTGTACTATCATATTTTTTTTACAGTCATAAATTAGCATATGTAACATATATAATATAATAGTATTTATAGCTATAATATAATATGTAATTTATATATATATTATATTTATTTTTATATTTTTTATTTTTATTATATATATATTTATTATTATTATTTATTAATTATCATATTATTATATATAATATAAAAGCCAAATTTTTTTACATTATACAATTATACATAATATAAAATATTAAACATAATATTATAAAATTATCTATATAATATAAAACATAAAATATAATATATTATAAAAAATAATATTTATTTAAATATGTAATATAATAGCATATATAGAATATATAATATGCTATAATATAATTCTTTGAGAAGTCCTGATTTAATTGACTATAAAACAACAATTATCAATTTTCACTTTACATACTCTATTAAATAAAAAATTGAAAGGTAACATAATATTATATTTAATTATTACGTTTATAACATAAAATAAAATAAAAAAAATAATTAGATTTATTAATTGACCTTTAATATAACTTCATTGCCGAACCAACAATAAAGAAAAATTTGCATGAACATAGAACCAAGGTAAGAAACTCCCCAAATAAATTCAATGCTTGCAATTTCTGCCTTGGACATCCTGTAAACGGTCAAACAAAGTACAATCGAGCTTATTGAAAATTGCAACATGATCATCGTCGTAAATACGCTGTTAACTTTAGTAGCAAAGCTAAAAAAATGAACATAAATTTGTTTCTTACTCTAATGTTTTGTGTGTGTGTGTGTGTGTGTGTGTATTATTGTTATTTTATATTTTATATATTATAATATTAATAAAATTCTGTTAACAACCTGTATATGTAAAGATGATAATCGATTAATTCACGAATTATCCTATTCTTCTCTTTTTTCCATTGTACGATATAATTGCAATTTTTCTTTGCCATTTCCAATAACATTGGCAATGTTTTAATTCGATGACTGAATATCTCAAATTGTGCACAAATTTGTATCATCAATCCGGAGATTATTGTTTCGTGTGCAACACTTGAATTTGCAACTACCAAAAGTGCAATTGATTGATATAACAAGAATAACCAAAACATTATTTCTGAAGAGTGATCGTATGGTGTCCAATTTGCAAATGGGAGTACGTGTTCCTTTACACCATCTATGATAGCAAATATAACTGTTGCTTCGTTTAAAAATTCAACATAAATTGTGATCCTCCTAATAGAAACAAATTAAAAATAAATAAATTATATTAATATAATTAATAATAATAATAATAATTCGGAAAATTAGTATAAAGTAAGTATACTTAAGATATATTTTAAAATTTACGATTTTATAAACGAATTGTATTATACAAAAAATTGTTAAAAAAAAAAAAAAAAAAGAAAAATACAAATAAAAAAGCTATGTTTTATTATTATTAAAAAACTATGTTTAGTTTTATATAGCTAATATGTATTATATAAAACATACAAATGTACATATAAATGTGTTATAAAAAAAATTGTTAAAAAAAAAAAAGAATACAAATAAAAAAGCTATGTTTTATTATTATTAAAAAATTATGTTTAGTTTTATATGTTTACAGTTAAAAACTATACTTTTAGAAATAAAAATAAAGAAAATCATAAATAAAAATAATTTATTGTCGAACAATTTGTTTATCAAAATGATCGATGCATTGTTTGCAATTTAAAACTGGTCTGACCATATTAAAGTAACTACTACTTAAAAAGAAAAGAAAATAATTCACCTAGCGTCCTCGTCAAATTTTTCTTGTACATTTTGTTCCTCCAAATTTCTTGGTAGACAAAAATCTTTCAATAGCATATCGAACAATGAAATAATACTATTTCTTCTTAACGTAAGATTAATAATTTTAATGCACACTGCTACCACTGATATTGTAAGAGTAAACTTTTCAATGAACGTGTTTACATTTTGATCAACGTAAGCATCTACGATACTACAAATTGCGAAAGAACATATTACAAATATCATAAATAAAGTGTAAATATTATATAAATAAGATTTGATTGAATTTGTTGACCAATTTTTTGGTCGCCAATAACCGACGTATGTCAGTAAAGCAAATGATACTGGCAATACGTGCATTTTCTACGATTTATTATTACGTTCTTTCTATTACAATGAGCATTTGTATTTTTTTTCCTGAAGAAGAAAAAAGAAAAGAAAATAATAGTAATGTCGCAAAACATTTATAAAGGAAAATAATTGTTTCAATCGTGTAAGTTAATAATGTAAGAGATATTCTTTTCTATTTTTTTCTTCTTCAAATTATTCTCCTTTCATCGAGTATAAAGTGGTTCGCTAATTATTCATAATTTTTGTTCTTCTTTTTCTCTTCCCTCACTCCACACCTGTTCATTAAAACATCTTTCACTTTTATTACGACATATCTCGTCGATAATTATATCACCCTGTCTATACAGTCAGTAAATTTTAATAACCTTTACGTTCTGCCAATACGTTTTAAAGTTATTTTTCTATTGTTATATATTTTATAAATGATTGCTTTTTTTTTTCTTCTTCTTCTTCTTCTTTTTATTTCTTCTCGGATATACTAAGACTAATTAACGTTAAATATTTTATCAAGAGAAGTTCTTATGTATATTCTTTTCCGTATGTAATTAAAAAAAAAAACTTCCTAGATATTATTCTCGATAAGTTTTTTTCTTTTTTTTTTCTTTCTTTCTCTTTCATTATTACTTTATTAATAATAAAAATAATTCTTTCTACAAAACGTAAGTATAATAACTATAGTCAGTTGATACGCATTGGACGAGTTCTGGTTTGTTAAATCTATCGAGTTTTTTCTTTGACATAAACGTTTGTATTGTTTTTCATATTTTATTTTTTTTTTTATTTTTATTATTTAATTATTCTGATGGATTTTCTGAAAAATTTAAACAATACTTTAGACAACGATTTAAGATATTAAATATGAAACTACATTGTCAAATAATATTTGTATTTATAAATATAATAATTTTGTATTACGACGAGGTCTGTAAAACATTANTCTCCCCCTTTTTTAGTGACACACAATACGTAATTCTATACTATGTAATCATAGTATACTATTATTATAATATCAAGTATGAAAAGAAATGGGATTATTTTAAAATGCTATTTTATTATGTTCAATCATTTTCTTTTTTCTCGTAGAAAACTACGACGACTCCTTCGATGTTCCATCCATTATTATCGATTATTAATTATTCCTTAGTTCTACGAGTAGAGAGAAACAGTAAAGTTACAGGAAGAATAAGAAAATGCGACAAATGAAATTTTTATAATATCCATCAATACTTCTTTTTCAAAGGTACTCATTTGTCATAAATTACAGTTTTCAATAACGAAAATTTCTATTTATTTTCTATTATCTCTTCAATAATACTCAATTTTATTTCAATTATTTATCTCTAATTTTACAGTCAGTAAATGGTAGTTGCAATTCTCAAGATGATCGAATTTTTGTTTAAATCTCGTTCGTGTGAGTTACAAAATCAAACGTTTTTTCAATATTTCCATTGCAATTATTTAAATTATAGTTTTGTTACTTTCTTCTTCTTCTTAGGACTTCGTCCAGTTAATCCTAATTAAAAAACCTAAACAAACTATTTAGTTAGTTGTGGAAGTAATTAATTTAATACAGAGGGTAGGTTGCTAGCCTCATCCTCGAACCCTGCCCTTTATTTAGGGCTTGGGACTTTTGTTACCTTAATATATAAAAATAGGAGAAATTCCATGGTTATAATTATATATATATATATATATGTGTGTGTGTATATAAAAATCTTGTAGATAAAGTATTTTATTCATGTGTCTGTCTTTTTGTTTTTCTTTCTTGTTATAATTATTAAATAATTATAAGTGTCTAACTATAATAATACTAATTACCATAATCAATTTCTTTCTTTCTTTGTATTTTTAGTCTTCTTGTGTCTGTGCCAAAAAATTGTAAGCTGAGTATGCAGTCTTCAGTATCTAAAAAAAAACAAAATTAGAAGTTTACTATAAACAATTCGAATTATTATAACATTGTGTAATTTATCATGAGAATACTTACGCTTACGAAAGATTCAAGATTCAGGGGAAAAAGATTCATAACAATAAAAACAATTGGCCTTGTAGTACGACTCATCATAATCAAAAGACATTTCTTAATGTCGTCGTTTAATCCAACCAAATTTGTATCAAAAATTTGATTTACAATTTCTTGACTCTACCAAAAATAACAAGATTATTTTATGTTTTTTTTTACATAAACATTATTTCAATAAATAATTATAATTATGAGATGATTTTTGTTTATAAGAATAAAATGGTGTACAATATGAAATCATTAGAAACTTTTGATTAATACAAGCTTGTTCTATTCATTTTTAATGTTTTTATCATTGCATATAAATGTTAATGTTTATTATAATTATAATATGATTGATAATGATAGAAATGATTATTATATTTTAATTAGCAGACCTTAAGAGTGACTAAATGTCCGTAGGAACAGTAAAGATAAACTTGTATTAACATTCCAGATATAAAAACTGTTATTTTGATAAATTCCAATGAAAATGTTGACACTTTTGTTAATTGGAACAATGTAAAACAGACTGTCAATGTACTTGCCAAAAATTGTATGAAGATTGCAAATTTAAACGTTTTATTTACTGTTGCAGCATACCTTTAAAAATAAAAGAATTCACAAATCATTTAATCTTTTYTATYAGTTTACGTGTGAAACTTTGTACAAAATAATTATTATATTGAATTTACTTGTATATAGATTCATGATGACGAATGCAAAGYTTTAAAATATGTTTTCGTTCGTTCGTAATTTTGGTCAAACGATTTTCCAATAATTTAATTTGACARCAAATGTCTATCAAAARATTGCAGATCAAAGTATCTAGAGCAACRTGAATGATTGCTCCTAATGTTAACGATAACAWTTGATGAACGTATGTTAAATAATATACAAGTGGTGTCATGTAAGCATCAAATGGCAACCATACTCGAAATGTTAATTGTCTTTCTTTAAAGTCTGAAACCAATGAGGAAAATAAAAAGTTGCTCACAGATAATGAAATCAAAAATGC